TCTGTCTCTCTCTCTGTCTCTCTCTCTCACACACACACACACACACACACACACACACACACTCTCTCTCTCCTCCTGTCCTCCTCCTCCTCCAGCAGCAGCAGCAGCAGTACCGACACTTTCGGACCCGACACTCACCGAACATGTTCCGGGCTCTGGACGCTGCGCTCGCCGTGCTGTTGGCCGCCTCTCTGCGGAGCACCGCGGGCGGCTACGGCTACGGCGGGGGCGGCGGGGGCTCGGCTCTCTTCTCTGCTCAAACCTCGCCCCCGGACCCGTGCTACGACGAGCACGGTACCCCGCGCCGCTGCATCCCGGACTTCGTCAACTCGGCGTTCGGCAAGGAGGTGAAGGTGTCCAGCACCTGCGGCCACCGGAGCGCGAGCCGCTACTGCGTGCTCAGCTCGGCGGACAAGGCGGACGAGAGGAGCCGAAGCTGCCACACGTGCGACGCGGCGGACCCCAAGCGGAACCGGCCCCCGGCGTACCTCACCGACCTAAACAACCCGCACAACCTGACGTGCTGGCAGTCGGAGAACTTCGTCCAGTACCCGCAGAACGTAACGCTCACGCTCTCCCTGGGCAAGAAGTTCGAGGTGACCTACGTCAGCCTCCAGTTCTGCTCGCCGAGACCCGAGTCCATGGTGATCTCCAAGTCCATGGACTACGGCAAGACGTGGGTGCCCTTCCAGTTCTACTCGAGCCAGTGCCGCAAGATGTACAACAAGCCCAATCGGGCCGCCATCACCAAGCAGAACGAGCAGGAGGCCATCTGCACCGACTCGCACACGGACATGTTCCCGCTGAACGGAGGTTTGATCGCCTTCAGCACGCTGGACGGCCGGCCCTCGGCGCACGACTTCGACAACTCGCCCGTGCTGCAGGACTGGGTGACGGCCACCGACATCCGCGTCACCTTCGGCCGGCTGCACACGTTCGGCGACGAGAACGAGGACGACTCGGAGCTGGCGCGGGACTCGTACTTCTACGCCGTGTCCGACCTGCAGGTGGGCGGCCGCTGCAAGTGCAACGGCCACGCGTCGCGCTGCGTCAAGGACCGCGACGGCGAGCTGGTGTGCGAGTGCAAGCACAACGCCGCCGGCCCGGAGTGTGACAGGTGCAAGCCCTTCCACTACGACCGGCCGTGGCAGAGGGCCACGGCCCGGGAGGCCAACGAGTGCGTCGGTGAGTGCGTGCGTTTCCCCCTCTGCCGCTCGTTCTTCTCCGGAAATGTGAACTTGATTTCATTCGTTCGCTGGGCTGTTATTCTGACAATTATTATTATTAGTCCTAGTATCAGTACTATGATCATGATTACGACAGTTTTCGATCACTATTAATTCCGATGTTAGACTCAGTAACCATCACATTCAGTTTAGTTAAAAGTGGCTTTCACAAAGCGTAACACTAATTGATGATCACGATGAGGATGATGATTAGTTCCAGTATAGATGTAGGGGTAGTCATAGTCGTAATCGTTTATATATTCTACTTAGTTCTACAGTTTTCCCATATTACATGAATATTCATTATGACTATGATGAAAATCTCTCCATACACCTCAAAACTGCTGATTAATAAAATAGGACGGACCCACTACTGGGGTCAATTTGACTCAACTTTGGGCTGTTATGTCAGTTTTTTACATCTCCCTTCTGCAAAGCTTGCTGATGAGCTGATCGTTTGAATCAGGAGTGATGGAGGAGGGCGACATCGAAATCCAAGGACTGGATTTCGGCACTCCTGGTCTAGTATAGTCCAATGCATACTGTAATAGGACCATGAAAATCATGATTATTATTCAGTTCTGAAAAAATACCACGGTATTAATATTTTAATGAGTGCCGTTTATTATTTTTCTGGGTGCCTCATCGCTCCATTTTCCATACCGTTACCATTTATGCTGTTTACCATTGTGAGGATCCTGCAGCCTGAGATTTTTGATATTATCATGAATATTGAACCTCATTTTGAATCCGTAAAGCACAACACAAAAACATAATTGAATTGAATTTGATGCAGGCTAACTACGAAAGTGCTTTTGTAGTGATACTTCTTGACGGATTGAGTACATTGACAAATAGAAAACAAAGAGAATTCTATTCGTAATTAATCCTTTATAATAGAACCACATGCAGGTACAACAATAATAATCATAATAATAAGAAGAATTACATTAGTCTCCAGAATATTCTAGAGGATTAAAATATTGCTAACTTCAGCATTGCATTTGGTTGTTGGATGTTTCGCCAGGGGAATAAAAAAGGTCATTGCTAGCAATTATTGGCAAGAGCTCACCATTCTCATATTCCAGTGTCATTCATTTGCTTCATTTCTTACATCTATTTAATTGCAGTTCTTATATATGTGCAACTCAGCCTGATACATATATAACAAAATAATAACAGCCACTACTGCGGTTGTTTGTAACGAACCACCTATTTTCCCAAAACCGACAACTGCTGTATTTGACTATTTGTGCTGAAACTCTGCAGCAAAAAAAAAAAAAAGTTGAAGTGAGTAAATATTGTTTGACAGTTGCTGGCCACGTTGACACATGGCAGGTGTTTCAAAGCTTTCTGTTTGTTGACTGTGGCCTTTGCAAAAACTCACAGATATCCACCGTGAACATGCTGCTCCATCATCACTTAAGCTCGACAATGGGTTTGACTCTCGAGGTCAGGGCATGCTTTTTCAAATACATAGTTATGCATGTGCAACATTAAAAGTCGAATTTAATATCGATAGTCATTTGAAAGATAAGACAAACATTGTCAATCCGAACTGGCAATCATTTCATCCTCATGAGGACCGTTCGACGACATTAACACATATTTTGTGTGTTGAACAACTGCAGAAGTGATATATTTTTTAATTGGAAGTAAAAAAAGTAATTTTACGCATTTCTGAATGTTTTCCCCCCTTACAAAAATCTCCGTGTCTAATCTAAGGGAGACTCCCGGAACAGTTATAGATGTAGATTCGCCAGTAATAAAAAAAAAAACAGTTGCTTAATTTTGAAATCAAAATAAAAACAAGATGCGCATTGACTATTTTGGGGTTGAGAGTCTTGCTCAAGGGCACGCTGATATTGCACAAAGCACAAAACTGAGCAAAATGTAGCCAAATTTGGATTGATGGTACACCCTGCATTTTTTTTTTTTTTTTTTTTATGTTCGGGGTAGCAGGAGAGCATGCAAACACCACACTTGGAAGCCCAGACACAAATCCACAACCTCTGACCTGTGAGGTGGACGTGCTAACCACTCGGCCGTTGTGCCACTCGTCAAGTCATTCAGTTTTCTTTTCACAATACAATTCAAACTCTCCAAATACATTTGTGTAATCTCCAAATTCTGTTCCTGTAATACACGAGGACACCATTCACCATCCCCCAAATAAACAAACTACGAGGGGGGGAAAAAAAGATGTGTCAGCGCCTCTTTATTTCGAGTGCACTTTACTGATTAAATCCATAAGGATCATGAAGGACCCTCATGCGCCAACCTCAAACCCCCCCCCCCCAAGCAGCACACACACACACACACACACACACACACACACACACACACACACACACACTTACACTTGTTTTTAATGAATACTTACTCCTATCGACTACGCTACTGTGTTTTAATGTTCGTCGTGATGGCAGTACTTTGAGAGCCAAATCATTTTCAAATTGTTGTGGCACTTGATGTGTACAAAGTTTGAGAACCGCTGGGTTTAATCATTGATTAAAAGCGGTGTGTCAAGGCGTACTTGATTCACACAGTACGTTGGAGCTCCACGATGGCAACAGCTGCTTTCTTTGGCTCGACCGTTCTAATAATTTCCCCAGCAGAATTAGCAGAAAGCCGCACAACGGGCCTCTCTCAAACTGCCTCCCGATCATATAAATGCTAATGTTGACAGTGTAAAAAGCCTCCTGATCGTTACTGTTAGTCTTCTTGTTTCATTCTCTTTTTGTTACACCGCAGTTGAACCGTGAGCCAGCAACGTTGCTGGCTCACGGTTCGTCTTTCCGTCAGCTGCGGGGGGAGATAAAACAGACGCTGCAAAGGCCGAGCTGATCGTCTGAACGGAAAATAGCATCGGTTTATAAAAGGAGTCGTAAACACAGATAAGAGCGGACAGAGGAAGGATGTTTTCCCCTTGTTGGGAGCTGCAGTGGATCTCAAAAGTCTACACACCCCGATTCAAATGAAGCCAAGATAAATCATTTCAATTTGACCTCCAGTGTAAGCAGTAAAACTCAACTGAATATCAAAGATTTTTTTTCTGGAATAGTGGAAGTTTAAAATTAATCACTCAGAAACGTATGACTGTGTTCAGAATTAACCAATCGCATTCGAACTCATGTGTAAAGGGGTCAGCACCTGCCACCTTTGAAAGAGCCTCTGATTCACCCCAAACAGAAAGTTTAGATATTCTACTCTGCCACGTTCCAACATGCAAATATGTCCGTTCGTAACTGGCAAATACGTTCAACTCGTATTTGCCAGTGAAAAATGTTCACACCACGTTGGCAGTTCCATGTTTCTGTACTTGTATATGCTAATTTGAATCGTCTTATTTAAAGCTTTCATGACGGGGAAAATTTGTTCGTGGAGTGGATAATATTAAACTATTTTTATGATTTCCTTTGGAAATAATTGCCTCAAAATCCAAGCAAATTGGTAGCTGACCAACGGCTCACAATGGCTTGCGTTTAGCCTTAGAATTGTATGAGTATATTTTTCATCAGTTTCTCATTAAAACAAACCAAAAAAAAAACCCCACTGTATTTTGGCATCTGGCTAAAACAGCTAAAAAAAAAACGACTGATGATTGAGAACTGCAAGGTTTACGGCGCGTGATCAAAATCATTTAGCATGAAATAAAAGCGATGCACGTTACAAATGGCTGCTTTTGTGGATGTCTGCAGGATCTTGAAGCAATTAATGTCAGCGTGTTGGCAGGCGCTCTCGCCAGCAGGAATTTTGGAGCTGCTCTTCGCTTGTCAGGACGCTCGATCCAGAAGCAATTGGGTTTTGATTCAATGGCAGTTTTGCACAGAGGATCAATCTGAGTGAGCAAGGCTTTGAAGAGGAGGACTAAGTTAATGTTGTATGCAGTGCAGAGAACAAAAGCTTTGAGCTTAATTTATGTTCATATATTATTACTCCATCTTTTTTAAGATTCTCATTGCTATTGACAAACGTTAAAGATTGGTCCAAAAAGTCACCCCCGCCCAAAACAAAAAAAACACATTGAACTCCGCCAACTCGAACATCTATTCAATTCAATGTTGCCTTTGAGATGAAAGGAGACATATTGTGAGTTTTTCTTCACAATTTCAAACAGTTTCCTGGTGTCTTGGAAACGTGCCTTTGACATGTTTTCATCAAAATACCCCAAGGATCAAAATCTGTATTACACTTCACACCCCCTATTTTTTGTGTTGCTGAAATTAGCCTGTTTGAGAGGGACCTTTAAACTGCTGCGCCAATTGCAAGTACGGATGTCATTATCATGATGATCAGGGGTGCAGCTATGTCAGTCTTTAGCTGTTCTGTAAATTAGCCCCCCTTTTATAAAGCAAGTACAAAATGGCTCTCCCACAGGCCTTTTTCGAAACCAACATTTTTTTTTTCGACTGATAAAGAATTTTCTCTAGGTGTTTAATTTCACACTTCATTGGGCAGCCAGGCAACTGCTTGTATACAAACTTTAAAAAGCCAGTTTTCCATTTTACATCCTCCTTAAAAAAATTAAGTGTTTGACCTACAACACACAATGCGGTGCAGAAGTCGAAGTGTGAATCTGTGTGTGTGTGTGTTTGTGTGTGTGTGTTTGTGCGTGTTTCAGCAATGGACCCTTGCCCTTGTTGTTGGGAAACAGTTTGGTAGGGAGCCATGCGGCCACTGAAGGAGGCATGTTCCGTGTCGGCTCTTGGCATGTTCCCACTTCCACTTGTCTCCTTGTGTTGGCGCTTGAACTCAGCGTTTACGAAGGCCAGAGCAATGTTCTAACCCAAGTTTTGTTTTTGGAAAGACACGTTTTTACAATGAGGTCATTTCACCTTTGGAAGATGCTGAGGATAATTGGTCTCTTCTTTGGCTCTGCTTCCAGTCTTCTTGACATAAAACTGAAGAACTGTTGCAATAGTCTGCTTTTCGAAAGACATTAAGGTTCAAGCTTGA